GGGAATCTCAGCTGAAAGTAGGAGAAAGTGAAACCAATTACTGTTTTTGAGTCCATATCAAATCATTTCAATGCGTTCAGGATAGATACCTTGGAAACGATTCGATTAAATGAGTTAACTGATGACTTTGATTACATAAAGAAGACTGGTGAATAAGATTTTATCAAATGAGTGAACTGATAGTTGAGACTGTATAAAGGGTCGGTAAATACTGATATACAACAACGTCAAAAGTGTTTTTCGTAATCGCTCAATTTACGAAAACAATGAGAACAACAGTAACAAATTGGTATCAACGACATATGAATGAACGAATATAATTTAACGAAATCAATAGAGCAACACTGAAAGATTCAGCTGGATTCTGGGGCAGTCAGTGGATTTTTGAGAACGAGTATCACCGAATCACCACGCAGAAACATTTTCGATATGAAACGATCCTTAGCCACTGGTTTCGCCTTCTTTTTGCCTTTACCTGTTTTTGGTAGTTCAGTCCACATCTCTTTCACGTTCTCAAGTACCATATTGCAGTGTCTGCAAAGCCACCATCTAGTTCAGAAAACTCCAACAAAATCGCAAAATTAATATAGCATCCTTAAAGCATCCACCAAACATCTGCCACGCGTGCAAATCGGAGATGCTAGATTCAGTTTCGAAAAAGATTTCTTTCTTCTAGGTACATCTAAAGCAAGATGTCTCTCCAGAATGACGATTATGAGGACAATTTGATACATCACGAAGCCGTGAAAATATAAATCGTAAGAATGTAAGAATGCACTAACCGATCGAACGCCTTGACACGACCGAGCAGTTTGCGATTGTTTCGACAATTGATCATCACCTGTGCATTGTTCTTAACCGACTGTGTCAAGATCGACAGAGGTCCAACGTTGAATTCTTCTTGTTCTTTAGCTTGTAACTCTTCTTGAGTCATCTCAGAACGGGGTTTCGCGATGCTAAACACAACGACGATCGTTGAAAACATAATTTATACGCATGTTCAACTGACTGAATAAGTGAAAGTGTAAAATGAAAATAACAAAACGAAACGAAACCACTTACGTTGCCATTTTGAGCGGAACTGTGCGCAATGGAAATCTTTGAATAAGGAAGATCACCAAAGGATAGTTTTTCTGAAATAGAAACGCTCATTGAAAACGTTCGGAGGAAACACATATGTCAACGTAACGAGACGCATCTGTTAACACATAGACCTCTATCAATTTCTAGAAACAATCACGCAAAAAAACCCCATTAAATCACGGTAACTACAATAATTTTGTGAAGTGATGAAAATGTCAACTGAAGCAGTGGAGAACACCACAAATTTAACAATATTGGAGGGGAGGGGGAGGGGAGGGTGATACTTCACAAGTAGCAGAAATAATCAGAGGTGATGACTACACGTTTTCAAGGTGAGAATATGGATGTGGAGAAAATCTGGGCACTAGATTACGGATTCAAATGGATATCACAAGATCTGAGATAGGTTCTACAAGCAAGAAAAACTAGATATCAGGATGTTTTGAAAGAAATTCTTTGCAAACATAAGACCTCTACGAAAACATGAACATTTCCTCGCATGTATACAAACTAGGTGCGTCACTATAACCGAAGAAATCAGTTGAAATGCTGTAGACGTCAGTTGCCAAAACATTAGTCGAATGAGTTGCCAATAAATTCTAGTGAATGCTCGATGAGGTAGTTGCCAATGAATGCAATGCTCAATGAGATAACAAATGAGTGACACATCACTGAATGATATCTAAATTCATTTAGGTTCGATCTCTAGTTTTAGAGGTTTCCACTAGAGTCCAGTGCAAGACCAGTTTCTATTTTTTCTCAATAAAATGAACATATGTGGATCACTTATCCATGCGTAAGTGAATGCAACACGATGATCGCTATCTGCATTGGGGTGCTTCTGGAATTAACAGATTTTTCGTGCAAAAATGACCAGTAAAATGTGTTCTGATGTAAAGGCCATCATGAACAATATCAACATCTCAGGGAATGACGACACTACATCGCAATCTTCTATTCGACTTCATGCCAACGTTAAATGTCTCAGGTTGTGGATGGCGAATGGCATGGTTGTGCTATTTAGGACAGAACTGTAGTGCGTATTCTATAAACGATTGAAGCCGTATGTGAAGAGATGATCGAAATCGACATAATGCGAATTGTATTAAATGTTTTTAGAGAACATTGTAAATACAGCATATTCTGACGAATGAATACCTTCATCACCAAACATTCACGAACATATGCTTGTTTGTGTGCGTACAATCTTCTTCACACGTTTACAATTCAAATCATTTAATAACAGTAATCATGCCAGTATAAAATGTCCATGCAATGAAAGGCGTTCATATTGATGAGGTTGCATCATCATTTCGTCATAACACGAATATACATGCTTTTTTAATGCAATGGCGCATGTTTTTAGAAATATTTTCAAAAATTGTTCGTCGGAATTTCATTTCACACTATTACTGAAATTCTGGTTCGATTTTTGTACAATGTTCCTTATCTGTATGTCCGTTTCGTTTTTGATCTCAATTTGCCAGAAC